CGAGAAGCTGCGCGAAGTTTCCATCCTTGGATCTCCATGGCCTGATCGTGAACCTGAGCTTTTAAAGTCTGGAGGTGGGTGGCGTAAGAAGACGTGGATAACGACTTGTACGCCTGCTGAGCCACCGCCTCTGCGCGTTGAGCTCGGTCCCGAGCATCTTGAGCCGTCTGGAGCTCCGCCGTCAAGGTTCTTACTTGAGCGGAAAGAGCTTGGGCTAAAGGCCGCAAATCCGTAGGCGACATAGAGGAGCTGACCGGCTCGGTAGTGGATGGGGCCTTGCCGGACGATTTGCTCGTGCGTTTGGCGGGAGACATGTGTCACGTGGAGGAGGAAGCTGTTGGAGAAGCAGTGATGTTGGGAGTGTACGTCGTGAACGCTGTTGTGCAGCGCCGACCACGTACAGGAGGCAATTGTGGTGAAGTGCTTTCTCAGAAATAAGAGAATGGATCTAACAAGGGGTCACTATCCCGAATTAGCGACATCACCACGTGGTTAGGGGGGATTTGGATCGCCCGGCATGGATCCACGCTTCTCGAAGTGGATTGGCCAAGATAAAGTGGCATCCTGTATGGGCCGACGATGGATCTGGTATAGATAATGTATGGGAAGGCAGGATCCACCAAGGGGAGACTCGGATCCACCCTCACCTGAGTTCACTTAGGGGATATGGGATATACCGTGTACAGGTGGACCAGGTGGTGATCCTATGAAGGAAGGATGGCAGGTGTCATCTGAAGGTGGATCTGGTATCAACGACTAGCGAGAAGGCAAGATCCACCACAATATGTCTCAGATCCCACACTTTCAAGTCCGGATTCAAGGGGGTGAGGATCCCACACGGAGTGACTTGGATCCAGGATACGGGAATGTTGGATGCAACGCATCGCGAACTTTCGTGGAGTGATGGAGATCGCAGGTGGTCGCAAGACGATGTTGGAAGATTGGAGAGCTCAGATCTACGAAGAGCGTACATTTGTAGTGAGGTGGATCAAGGTAACCTGGATCCGGACAAGTGTACCCATAATGTGGCGACCATAATGATTACGCCATGGATCCGGTGGATCTGATGATAATACAGCTGAGATGATGGGTCAAGGAGAAAAAGGACATGCATCCGAGCCTGGTAGAGGATTTAGCAGGTGAAAGACATAGAAGGTAGGAATCCAGGCAGCTATAGGCTTAATTATCAATACATACCTCAATTTGCGCAGTATCACGCAAGTGTCTTCCTGCCCTCAAGAATCAGAACTACATTGACCGTACGAGCTCGGTGAATGTTGGGAATTGCGAATTTAGTGTTGGTAGTGATAACTGGATAATACATTGGCCAGATCCTACAACCTAGTGAGCTTTCCTTTACACGTGCAGATCCGAAAGGTTAACCGGATTTACTACTTGGCCGGCTACACCCTAGAGGCTCTTAACTCTCAAGATCCGGTTACAGGAGGCGGCAAGTACGACGAAAAGGAAACACAAAGGCAAGAAAACACACCCGCAAGGCAACCCTACGGTCAGATCCCTGATCTAGGCCCTGGATCCACCAAGCTCGAATATTCGCTTAGGATCCAGAAACATCTACGGACGCAGAGTGAAGATCCTACCACTACTGTTCCACCCCATCCCCACGTCACGCCAAGACACTCAAGCTTCACCACTTGAACTCTTCGGAAGTTACCGAGAGAGCAAGATCCCGCCCTACCGACGGGTACACAAGGTGAGGAAAGATCAGCAGATCACAGATCATCGGGGGCCCCTCCGTTAGTCGGTGTCTGGCGCTGTTGGTAAGGTTGGATCCAGCAATCTCGCAGATTTTGCTGGTCCCGCTACACCACATACGCTACTGGTACTCTTTCTGGGACGCTTCTAAGGCTACCTGGATGCGTCTTTACGCCGTGGGAGAGGCTGTCGGTTGGTTGGTACTACTATGCCTTTCCCTGCTACTGTATGTGCCGGTCAACGTATTTGATCTGGTGGAGTTCTGTTCTTGGGGCCTGTGGGAGTTGGGGCCGTACTACTATTCCTGCTGGCTTCTAACTACTGCCTCGAGTCGACCGGCTGGAGTCTCGCCGACACGCTCATCGTGGTGATCGCTGGAGCAATATCACACGCCTGTCGTCAGTATGACGAAGGAATCCCTCTACGGGCCGTCTCCCCTAAAGTGTTGGTTCGTGCCAGTACTCGCCGGACGCTTCTAAGCGCAGTGTTGCCGAAGCTCTGAACATCGAGCGTATACGAGTCGATGACAACGTCGAGGTGTTATTAGACTTTCAGCCCGCCGACCCTGACTTCATAGATGACTGTACCGAGGACTACCCTGAGGCGTTCCAGTCCAACATACCTGTCGAAGTGACTAACGACGGAGCTGCTATGGCTGACCTAATGGGAGTTCGTGGAGAATCCGTTCGCCGAGGACGGTAAACGGCAAGTCGGGGAGGATGTCCCGTACCCGGGGACGAGGGGGGCATTCCAGGAGCTGTGGGTCCGGACGGGATGTCTCGAGGTCCTGTAGCTACTCCTCGCCCGGCCGTCCCGTCAGGATGGTACCCGTGAACTCGACGGCTCGCGTGCCTCTGGCCGAGCCCGTTAAAATGAACCTATAGAGTGGTCCGGGAACGCTGGTACTCGTTCGACGTGGGACTTAGGCGCCTAGCGCAATCGGGTCCCTTCCCAGACTTCCCTGTTGTACCACGAGGGCGGATGACAGGTGAAGTGAACTCGTTCTTCAAGTGACACAGAAGCGGTGTAGTGTATGTGAGGAAGGCAAAGTGTTAGGCCTCTCTTCCAGTTAGCTCTCAGTCTTATATTTTCCACCTTCTACTCAAGTGGAAGTAAAGTCAATAAAGAAACTAATATTCACTTTAAGTGTTCTTGTCTACCGTTCCGGCCACTGAACGAGACCGTACTCCCTGAACAGCCGCGGACTACCCGACGTGGAGGTATACGACAACAGACCGCCCATAATAATTCTCAGTCAAATCGATGGCGAAGAATGCCACAATTCCGGAAAACAAAGCCTATGGGTGATCCCGAAGTATAACTTACCGTAAGTTGAAGAATGAAGATTGTCTCGACAAATAAGTGGCCCTGTAAGGTGCGTGCTTGTGATCAAAGACATATTAAAGTGCATTGCCGATCTTCCTGCAAAAAAGAGGCTGGACAGACAATGTGAACTCGACTAAAGAGATACCGCCTATTAATACAGTATATGTATTTTTTTGCGCTCACTATTCCAACTACAGCTCGAATCAGCTTTGCAGAAGTCAATGTGGTAGTATTCTGCCAACGATCATCGACAGATTGGCCGCATAAAGCACCGGTAGTAGGAAGTCGACGTATTCAGCCAATAGTAAAAAGCTTCCCTTCAGTCCCTGATGAATCATCAGAGACTAAGCTCCTCATCAGTGATGATCAGGGATGCCGAAAAATAAATTGGTGCTGTAATTATTGCAATAAGAAAGCACCAATTATCTATTGGAGGCTTTCCGAAGAGGAATTCCAATTAATTATTTTCGCTTCCGTTGTAGCACCAATAATCTATTGGGGCGGTGTTCAATCAGCCATACATTCTTTAGTACTTGTGCCCTCACTGTGTACCAACATTGCTGCACCAATAATCTTTTTTCTGAGTTGAGGAAGCTCAATAATCTATTTTGGTCTTGCCAGTTCTCAAACCCAATTATTTATTGGCACTCTTTGCTGCACCCAACTGAAAAATATGTGACGAGGCTGCTGCAACCATCTGAACACAGCTCGCCTAATACGAGCCCAGCTCGTGCCAAACAAACCCCCATACTGCTTCCAACTACGCGCCCAACTCAAGAAGTCAGTGCAAAATTGTATACATCAAACGTGTATAGCCGGAAAGACACACTTAAGAATGTGCGCGCCATGTCAAAGTCCGAAGCTGAGCGCGTTTGGGGGCGAGTTAGAGCGTTAGATTTTCATGTCATCCCTTCCAACCAGTACAAACAAAAACAACAACAACATCACTCTAAGCAAAACAAAGTAGTGGTGTATTGAACGCTGAGCACCTACAAGTTGTTGTACAACTGGTTCCTTACGCTTCGATAAGCATGCGTATGTAGCGGTATCGCAGAAGCTGTAATGTCTTTTTGTCCAGATACCCAAGTTGCTCAGCACCGCAAAATAGCTCAAACACCAGGAGCACATTCACCCCACAACTGTAGCTGTCTGTTTGTACATCTAGTCCAGGATCGTAAATTATACTGCAATATTCGCTTCTTCTTGGCGCCAGCCTTCAGCAGCTCACTCACTGTCCCAACGACATCTGGTTCCAGAGCTATTCGATTATGTGGGTACTGCTCAAATGTGTGCTTGTGAAGAGGATGATTATGCTTCAAGCGCGTCGAAGTAATCCGCAGCGAAATTTTAGGTACCGTAGTATCGACAACTTGCACGCAAGCATTAATCTACGTACACAACACATGCATGCCATTAGACAATCTACCACCCAAATTACACCCAACTGATACAATGGTACCCAACTGAGACCCAACTCGGGGAAACTACATATATCGCACCTGCACATCGCACTCAATAGACCTCGACTGCTGTCGCTTCCTCATCCCCTGTCCTCGTGCCTTGTACTTACCAGCATGGGTACATACAAATGTCTTGCCGTAGTAAATTCATTCATCCGTAAGAATTGGCTGCTTCGAGCCGGGATTTGCTCGGATTAATTTGTTCCGGACCTCGACTTTGTTGTTCGTCCGGGCTCTAAAACACTATTTAGTCACAATAAAAAACAATCCATCAGTAGTTATGCCACTTGTAATGTGAATCCTGGCTAGCGGCGATAACAAATACAGTCAAGTGTACCTGATACGTTTCCCTTGAATACTGTTGAAGGTAGCCCTCCAGGTCTTCCCAAGAATCAAATTGAGTGCGCTGAAGGGGTGGTGCCTCTGTTGTTTGCGGTGTGGAGTCGCTCGAATCCGTGTGTACTGTGCTGGAAGTGGCCGACGACTCCTCAGTTGAATCTATCCACTCCTCATCGCTACACCGGATACACTGAGGCTCGGAGTGGTCGCTTCGCAGGCTCCGTAAGCCTCCAGCACCGGCTGCATTTGACGCGCAGCAGCCCGCGCTAGTGGCTTCCATACTGCTCTCGCTGTTCACCCCACCCCCCCCCCCCACTTTCGGAATGAGTGGTAGTTGACAATGATATACACGTATACATACTTGACGGATATCGAAATTTCTGTCGACCGGGCCTCTTCTGGGGTAGGGGAAAATCTGGTCGCGATTTACGACGCTGAGTTGGTGCACTACTCACTCCCTTATTTATTTTCTGCTTTGATTAGCATTAGAAAAAATTGCAATATTCGGCATCCCTCGTGATGATGGCTTTGTTAGCAGGAGTAACCACCTTTTCGGGATAATAATTGAAAATTATATGTAAGACTCATATCCCCTCAGCATACCGCGGAGACGGTCGGAGTTGTGCCGGCCGCCACGGAGAAGGCTACTTCAATTTAATACATAGCTGTCTTAGAAAAGCCGTGTCATGGATTTTAACTTCTGAATTTGAACGGTGCCTCTAGATCGACACCTACACAGCCAGCACACAAAACCCACATGAGCATAAAGGTCGAATATCAATGTAGCAAACCAAGATACCATTATGCACCAGTGTCATCTGCAAAATGACCGAAATCCACAGGAAGAGGTGGCCTTGGAGTGTGGCTACTTGCGTCTCGAGCACAAAGGCAAGTTGGTACAACGGCGAGAATCCAAACTTCCGTTCTCAGTACAATCAATAACCCGGTGAACGATGCGAACTCTACTATCGAGTAGAGAAGGAGGTTCGTCACAGCTCTCGCAAACTTTTCGGGTGATAAAGAGCGTGTATGCGGATAAAACGCGGCTGTCGGAAGATGGTAAAGGAAGGCAAGATACGCTGCGTACAAGACCGGGATGGCACACTCGACGTACTCGCCCATGACGACATACTCAGAGTGAAAGAGCGTCTGGAGTGCGTTTTGAGCGTCTTGTACTGAAGCATCTTGTCTTGGTGGAGAGGCAGACCTGCGGAGCTTGGACTGAGGCTCGGTTTGATGAGTTGAAGCTTTACTTGTTGCGATCATTGGCGACTCAGGCCCAGACATCACGCTGTCCGATAATTGTTGCGCTGGTACAACTCGGAGTGTGTTGGAGGCGTTTTTACCAGCGACCAAAGCTAATGTTGCGTTGAGGATTGCCCAGTCAAGTTCTCCCGTCTTCTGAGGATGATTTGTAATCGACGAAGACGCTGACATGGGTTCTATCTGAGTCGTTGCTGTTGGTACTACCGATAAACAGTTAGCAGAGTCCGCATCTCGGACATTTCTCCTTTTTGCATGCAAAATATCGTTTAGGTATCTTGTACTTTCCATCGATATTGGCAGCGGGAGTGGGGCGCAGACTCGAATCGGTACAGGCGATCCACTAGTTGAGTGAAAAACGTCTCGTATCAGGGCCAGCAAGCCTTCTAGGAAGTTCTTTTTGGGCGCGTTCATAGACTGCAGTCGTCCTTTGGTGGAATCTAGTTGGAAACGACAACATACAGGACGTTGCACACATCCACGGAAAACACGACGATCAGCCCCACACACTCTTTGAGGTGAGCTGACGCCTTGGCGATCACTTGTTTCACCGAGAATTTGACGAGTGGTAACACAAAAATGAAAATCGACTGCTGGGTGGCGGAAAGCTGGTTGAAAATGGCACTGAAAGTCGGGTACGCTATGGCGAGAGCCCCTTGAGCAGCAATTACCGTCATCTGGGAGGAAAGCTGATGGCGTAGCACTGGCGAGTTACGGAGGACGCTAGGTCCGATACTGAGTATGAAGAAAATCATATAAAACAAGACAAACGGAGCTATCGTCAGCACATAGCCGAATGGAGTCGGAAACTTCCACAAAACGGCAATTAAAATTGTGAGCACCACGTAGCATGTGCACGAGCCGATGCCAGTGACTACGACGCCCGTTCTGGACATCACCCTAGGCTCGATCATTTCTTTGACTTGGAACACGGCTCCAAAGGCTATCGGTAAAGATGACACGTACAGTCTGATCCAGAACGCGTAATTTGCCTTCCAACCCTCGTCCGGGGGTCTAAGGGGGATGCATTCAACCAACGTGGCCATAGTGAACGACGGGGCGAGTGACAAGACGCAAACGAAGAAAACGCGCATCGGAGATGTTCGCTCGCAATAATCTCGCAGCGAGAGAAGACGCTGAATCGAGTACCGCGCCTGGTGACCAACTTGGAGGAGACTCCAGTAGTCTCCAGCCGCCTGAAAAGCTCGATCAAATCTATCAGTCACAACAGCAAGAAGCTGTGGTCTTTCAAGTGCGACCGGGTGCACCTTAGAGCTTGAGACCATTTCCCAGGGCTGCTGAGATGTTGAACCGGCTGTGAAAGTTGGCTATGTTAGCGCTATTCTTGATGCTGTAAGTTCGATTTATTCCCAACATAGCTCTGTTCATCACTCTGCGATGGCATTTTGTGGGAACGAACCTGGTATCGTACAGCGCAAGTTCACTCAAAGTTAGGTTTGGGAGGGCAATCCAGAGAGAAGGATTCTAGTGAAATTATAAAACCAAATCTACAACTACGCTTCCCTTGTAACTCTGAACCTTGAAGATGTGTCGGTCTCCTTGTCCAGTACTGCTCGAAAGGCGTGAGCGCCAACAGAATTGTGCTGGGAACGTGAAGGGATTGGGCTGCATTGGGGGCGAGCAAGTGCTGTTCTACTTAAACGGGGCATCAAGATCAACACCTTCATCATAATGCAGCATACAATGAGTGCGATTCAACAGAGCCGCAAGAGCGATAAACTTAACGTTGTGCGCCAAGGTGAACTGAAGGACGCACAAAACCCACACGAAGAGCAGACTCTGCAACGTCTGCGCTTGAGTTTCCAATACGAATGCCACTTGATACAGCGGCGAGAAGCCAAACTTTCTCTTTAACAAAACGCTAGCTCCAATAAATGACGCAAACTCCACGAGCCCGTAGAGCGCCATGTTTTCAAGAATCGTATTCAACGTATCGGATGTTATCGACCGCATATGAGGGTAGTACGCGGCCGTCGGAAGGCGGTAAAGAAGGGCGAGATATGTTGCATACACGACCGGCAGGACGCACTCGACGTATTCGCTTAGCAAGATGTATTCCGAGTGAAATAACACTTGGAGAGCATCTTGGATCTCTTCAGCAGCATGCTTCCGAAGCATCTGGCTGTCGATTTTGGGAGATAGCACTCGCTTTGTCGTCGTTGCGATTAAGGATTCACTGCGTCGAGGTACCTTTATCTTTGGCAGACGTGACTTTGGAATAAAATTGATCGAAGCTCTTGGCTTGATCAGCGACACTTGGAACTGCCAGTTACCTGTCAGAAATGCTGGCGTGAAATCTGCATCATCTTTAGTACATGTATTCCCGGCAAGGTGGCGGATGTCCGATAAACTTGATTGTCTTCGGAACGTTACGGGCACGACACTGCGGCTTGAAACGCACGTGGCTCTGCTTGCGACGGCATCATTGGATTCACCGCACAGTTCCGACATTAGCTCTTTGCTATCCACTGATAGCGGTAAGGGGAACGGGGCACATACGCGGATTGGCGTCTCAGTGCTCCGAAGCGCTTGACGCGCCAATCCTGGCAGTACGTGAAGATAATTCTTGTCTTTAAGCAGCGACCTCTGTGATTTATTCGCTCTGTAATGCATTGAGGAAAGTGCAGCTACGATGAAAGTGACATCTGAACTGACCATGAACAAGGTTGTGATTGACGAGACGGCGGTTTGCATGCAGATGACCGAGTAGAGCACGTTGCACACGTCTACGGAGAAAATGATCATGGGGCCGACGTATTCTTGCAGATGAGCACATTGCTTGGCGATGTACTGTTTGTTAAGCATCTTGATAAGCGGTAGCACGAGGACGAAAGCAGCCTGCTGGAGCCCTGATAACTAGCGAAAAACGGCGAAGAATGGAGGGTAACATGCCGCTAGAAGGCCTTGTGCCGCAAGCACGGACAACCGGGGGACTATTTGGTGGCGTAAAGCTGAGTTGATTGAAAAAAGTTGGATGGCAAGACCAAAGCTCCCCATGAAGAGGAGCACGAACGGACCCACCATGACGACGTAGCCGAAAGGAACTGGGCTTTCCCAGGACGCCGCCAACGTCAGGGCACATACGACGTATTCAATAGCCGTTCCGAATCCAACTCCGACTGTTACTTTGGTGGAAATGATACCCGGAGGAAGTACCTGCTTCACCTGGAGCACGCCACCTATAGCCATGGGAAAACTGGAAAGGAACAATCGGATCCAGAATGCGTAGTTGGCTCGCCAACCATCGGAAGGAGAAGCCAACGGAATACACTCAATGAGTATCGCAACCGTAAAAGCAGGTAAAGGAGCGAGTGAACACACCAAAACGACTCTGAGCATTGAGACTCGTTGGCAATAGTCACGTAGAGCCAGCATCCTCTCGACAGAGTAGCGTTCTCGATGGCCGATCTGGAAATGATTCCAGCAGCTTTTCCCTTTGTGGTATGTTTCTAACAACCGGGAGATGACAGTTTGATGTCGTGGTTGGCCATGAGGTGGGGAGGGTCGCACTTTGATACCAACCATGGCGATCTGGTCAAAATGGAAGACTTACGGGAGACACTTCCGCCCACATAGTGGTCATCACGACTTTCGCCCGTCTTAGATGCGTTGCGCCCTATCAATAGCCGTCCATTTCAATACACCGATAAAAGCACGTAGGAGCAGAAGCCATTGTAAATCTGAAATCTGTTGAAGACCCACAACCTCGTTAACTCGCACCGGTTTCTGCCCTGCTGACGTACTTGGCACCAGATGGCTGGACCTTTTGAAGACGCTGGTGACGAACGCGCAGCGTTGGCCGTCACTCTTGACACAAAATAATTCCAGCCAATGCAGCGCTTGTACATGAATTTACGCCAGCTTGGACGAGATTCTCATGCCAGAGCTTGTCCCGACCCCCAAAGATTCCGCGACGTGGCCATTTCGCTGCTCGGCGTGTCTCTGGCCGCGTTTGTCCGATCGAATCCCGCGGTCGAGCTGACGACACCCTGCTTGGTTTCGTTTCGATGAAAGGGACGTCCGCCCACCTCATCGCCACAGCGCGCAAACTCTATTGCAACTTGGCGCCGCCACCAAATCACGACAGGATACGAACATGGTTGTGTACAGTATATGTTTAAAAATTCGCACTCCGAAATGCATAGGGAATAAAATAATTCTGCGATTGGTCCGTTATTTCTTGTAATTTCACATAGCCGGGTCTCCTTTCCTAAAATTACCTACGTGGCCAGTCTCCAATGGATCCACGTCCCCTTCATTCTCCGATTAGCAGGCTCGAGCTCAAGACCATCACTCTGTCGTCATGGCCTCCACGATCGCGTCGTTCGCCAACTTCCTCAAACAGTCGAAGGCGCACGCCGTGGACAACCGCGAAGTGTTGATCGCTGGCGTCTTGTACAAGAAACCGGAGCGCAATTCGCTGCTCTGGAAGAAACGCTACTGCGTCATTTACGCCGGCGAGCTGCAGATCGTCTACTTTTTGTCCCTCGAGGACTTTGAGAAGCGCGCAATCCGCGGCAAAATCCCCTTCAGCTCCATCCACCCGTGGGACGGCAAGCCCAACGGCTTCCAGTTCTACACACCCGCCGACAACTGCTTCCGCGTGTACACGGACTCAGCCGAGGAACAGCAGAAATGGATCGACACCATGCAGCAATGTATCGACAACGCGCCTGACAAAAAGGACGGCGAGAAGGTCGAGTACACGCGTCCCGTGGCCTCGTCCCCTTCTTCGTCCCCCAAGGGTGCGAGTTTCCGCTCCAAGCGCAGCGACTCGTGGCGGGAGGAGGACCCGGACGTCCTTTCCATGGCAGTCGAACTCGAGGATCTTCGCAGTGAAGTGACGACACTCAAGGCCGAGCTGGCCTCGTACGAGCAGGCCGAGAAGAAATACGGTGCGGAGATCTCGGCAGCTCGTACGCGTCGTGGCTCGGTGCTGGATGACGGTACGGAGCTCAACATTGAGCCGAGGGAGATGGAGCGGATGCGTGCCATCTTCAACCTCTTCGACGTGCAGGGTAATGGCTGCATTAGTGAAGACGACCTCATGGACCTCCACGCGAAGCTAGGAGAGCCCATCTCCAACGAAGACGCGCGTGAAGCCATCTCGTACATGCACAGCAAGTCTGCCACTGGCCAGATCGACTTTAACTCGTTCATGAAGTGGTGGAACGACGACCACGCGGCTGACAACCAGACGGAAGCCATGCGTCGCTACCAGGCCAAGTTCAAATTCCTCAAGGCGCGTATCGCCAACCCGGAAGTGGGGAACATCGAGACGGAGGCCGTGGGCGCCTTCCCGAGCTTCGAATTCCGCGTCAACTTCTACCACACGGGGCCCAATGGAGAACGTCAGCAGATCTCGCCCTGGCACGACATTCCGCTGTACAATCCGGACGGCACGGTGAATTTCATCTGCGAGATCCCCAAGTGGACGCGCAAGAAAATGGAGATCGCCACGGGTGAGCCTTTCAACCCCATTAAGCAGGACACGAAGAACGGCAAGCTGCGTGAATATGGCTGGGGAGAGATGATGTTTAATTACGGAGCGATGCCCCAGACGTGGGAGGATCCGTCGCATGTGACGGAAGGCACGGGCTGTGTGGGAGACAACGACCCTATCGACGTCGTGGAGATCGGAACCAAGCAGTGGCGTACTGGCTCCATCGTCCAGGTCAAGATCTTGGGCGTTCTGGCGCTGATTGACGACAACGAGACGGATTGGAAGGTCATTTGCATCAACGTGGAGGACCACTACGCCCCGCTCATCAACGACGTGGCGGACATCGAGGCGCACATGCCTGGCTGCATCACGGCCATCCACGACTGGCTGCGCGACTACAAGCTGCCGCAGGTCAACAAGTACGGCTACGACGACAAGTGCATGGGTCGCGACTTCGCTGAGGCCACTGTGGCCGAGACCCACGAGTTCTGGAAGCTGCTTATCGAGCAGCGCGGCGGCCAGGCCACCGTCTAAGCAGCTGCAGAGCTCTCTCCTCTCCTACTGGAGGAATCGTAGACAGGACTGGAAAAATACATGTAAAAAACACAGCACGCTTACAAAAATACACAAAAACCCACAGTTTCTTACGCTCAGCTCATTGCTCCGCTTTATCGATTGACTAGACGTCGGATCTTGTGTTCGTCTCTTCCAAGTGACGTTGAGGTGCTGGAGTTCCGGACAGGTTCTGATCCCTTCGTAGCCACCATGAAAAACTCAGGGGGCTGAAAATACGCGTCTTGATGGACTTGCAACTCTGCTAAAATAGCGAATCGGAGGCCGAAAATGGAAGTTGAAGGCCCATGTGGCTTGTCCGGTGACTACCGTTGATGTGCGGCCGGCTTCAGCCTCGTCCTCGGGTATCAGATGGCCTGCGATGCCCCAAACAGCTCCGAGGACGGGGTCATTCAGGAATCTGCCGCTCTGTGGTGATTCCAAGCGCTCGACTACAAATAAAAAAACAGTCGCCCCATGTCTCTGGAGGTTGCCATCCCGGCCGGATGCGAGCTGGTCAAAGACCCCGCGCCAGAGCTTCTAGACAGTCGACGATCCCGATCTCCGTCGTCCCAAGACAGTCGTCCAGCCTCTCCGACTTTCATTGAGCGCGAGGGAATGGGCACCAGCAGCTCTATGATCACAGCAAGCATCACGTCCGTGTCCACCACATCAACAGCGCTCGATATGACCACAAACACGGAGGAATCCGACACGCCAGAGGCCTCTCCGCCGTCCAAAACCTTCGACAAGGCAACGAATTTGGCCATTCTAGAGAAACGGATGCGTATCGGCAAAACGCGGACGAAAAGCCTCTCCAAGTACAAGAACGTCGAGCGCAGCTTTCGAGCCCCCGAGGGCAACGTAATCAACCTCCAGCACGAGCAGTACGCGCTCACGTACGGCATGATGTGCGGCATCCGTGACTCTGCAGGCCTCCAGAAACCGTTCAAGCAGCGCCTGACCATGGACGACTTTATGCTGGTGGACAACAAGATCTTTCCGGCCAACTCGCAGCTCCAGCACCCCTTCAAGTTCAAAGATTACTCGCCGGACGTGTTCCGCCAAGTGCGTCGTCGCTTCGGCATCGACCTGGCCGACTACATGTTGACGCTAAGTGGGGACTTTAACTTCATCGAGTTCATGTCCAACTCCAAGTCGGGCCAATTCTTTTTCTACTCGCACGACGGGCGGTTCATGATCAAGACGCAGACCAAAGACGAGTCCAAATTCCTGCGTCGAATCCTGCCGCACTACTACAAGTTCGTCATGGAGAACCCCAACACGTTGATCACGCGCTTCTACGGGATGCACCGTGTCAAGATGCACCACTTGAGGCGGAAGATGCACTTTGTCATCATGGCCAGTGTCTTTGATACGCCATTAGACATCCACGCTCGGTTCGACTTGAAAGGCTCGCGCGTGGGACGCCATGCGTCTCCGAAAGAGCACGAGCGAGGCAGCGCAGGCGTGTTAAAGGACAATGACCTGTTGGAGAAAGGGTTCCACTTGCAGATGGGGATGGCTCGACGCGCGATTTTCCTGGTTCAACTGCGAAAAGATGTCGAGTTCTTGAAGCAAATGAAGATCATGGACTACAGTCTTCTCATCGGCGTGCACGACTCTGGCTGTGAGCTACAGAACGACCTGTACACAGGCACACCCACCAGTGATAGCTCGGAGAGCGTCACGTCGGACCAAGGAGGCAGCTCCAGGTCGTTGCCGGCGTCACCTGTACGCTCAGACCCCGAACTGACTGCAGTTGCTCCGTCGCGACCATATCGCTCGTCGTCGATGCCCGAGAACGACATTGAGCTGCAGCCTTCTCCGGTTCTCAGCGCTATTTCGTCCATTCAGACGCGACTCGCTCTGTCTCCCCCGAACACGCCGACAGGGAGTGAAGGTCGCACGAGTCTCGATCTGGACTCGGACAACGACTCGGAGACGAGTAGCGACGGAGGGTTTAGCTTTGGGAGCGCCTTCGGAGACTTCTCGCCAGCCAATCGAGGGTCGTTTGGATCGTTGCCATCGACTCCCCGAGGCTCCGGGTCGACCATGGCGCCTCTGTCTCCTCGTCTACTGGATACTGCGGCCTACGAGTACTCAGAGTCGGTCTTCTGCAAGGACGAAGGAGGCATCTACGGACGGGACCGTCACGGTCGTAAGAACGGATTCGTGTATTTCCTGGGTATTATCGACATCCTACAGCAGTACAACACGCGAAAGATCGCAGAGACGTTCATCAAGGGTCTGCGTCACAACCGCAAGCAGATCTCGTCCGTGAATCCAGATTTCTACGGTGACCGGTTCATCGAGTTCATGGAGAAACACGTGGTGCAGGACGACACTCTCATCTCGCCTCGTCCAATGCCTTGTCCGTCTCCTACCGCCAGTTTAGACTCGTTACCGCGCATGGAGGATGACGCCTGCTAGATCAGTATTAGTACCTACCTACAGCGTAGAGAGGAGGGAATATTTACACCATCAAACTCGCTTGATGCTATTACATTAGTGGGCTACGGAAAAGTAGCAGAATGGGTTGATTTGCGGTAAGTTATATTTATCCAATTTTGATTAGTTTTTTCACAAGCACTCAAAGGAACCATGACACGACTGCCCAACTTGTCTCGATGTACTCGATATCTTCTCCAACTTGGTTTTTGATCTCTTATACCGTAATTTTGGATCCTCCCATGTCTTTCACGGTTCAAAGCACAAGTTACATCTTGTAACGTACGCTTAGATCGATGCAGTCGACACGCTAGCACCAGCTTATATAGATACCACTGAAGTTGCGCTTGATCCGAAAATGTCCATGCCACCGGTGAGCTAATTTCTTCGTCAAGCCCGGTTTGACGCGTTCCATGTACAACCACTCCCGGCTCCCAATCTCAAAAAGAGATCTCGGTGGAGCTCTTGCAGGATCTTCCATCTCTTCCGAAGCTTCTGGAGGGTCCGCCGAGTGTTCGTTTCCACTTGGTTGAGGTACAGCAGCTTTTTCCAGTCGACTCAGAGCATCATAATGCTTTTTAGCCCTTCGCGCCTTTTCTACAGCCTGATAATCTTTGGCCATAGTGAGGGCGACTTCATGTTGTCGGTTGATCTCACGCCGCCACGCCAGTGCGTCAGACTGCTCGCCGAGTCCTCGTTTGAGTGATGACGACATTGCCCGCAACGTCGACTGCGCATCCCAACCATGAACGAGGTAGAACGGCGTTTCCTTCCTCGTAGTGTCTTGAGAAGTATTAATAGCAAATACTAGCTTCTCCGCGATTTCGTCCCAATCTTGTTGTAGAGGGTATTCCGCGTACACCCGTACGGACCCCATCACTGACTTCACCGAGCGTTCCTGCTGTCCATTAGCCTGTGGTCGATAGCGTAAAGTCGCTCGTGATCTTGACTGCATCATCTCTGCAAATGCTTGGAACACCTCGCTCATGAAGCGTGGATCACGGTCGTGCCTTATCAGTGATGGGGCTCCGAACCGTCGGTACACACATTCTTCGAGCACTTGAGCAACACTCAGTGCAGTCGTATCTGACATAGCTTTGGCACTAACGAATCCCGTGAACGAGCACTGAAATAGGAGCAACGCCGTGTTGCCCCTGCGAGATTTCGGTAGTGGGATCACAAAGTCCATCGAGACGATCTGGAAAGGTCGTTCGGCTAGTACGTTGCCAGGTGAGTATCCACGAAGCTGTGGACGGCTTTTACTCGAGCTGCAATCTGGACATGACTTCACATGCTTCTCCACGTCAGCGTACAAGCCGATCCAATAATAATCGGACTTAACGCGATGGAACGTTCTCGCCACCCCTTGATGTCCTCCTTCCAGCGAGTCGTGACAGTTCTGCAAGACCTCTTGAATCATCGTTGTCGGTACCACAAGCCGCAGCTTGGTCTCCTCTTGCCAACCGTGGTCGTACCGACGATTCAATCCAAGATAGTGAAGCACGCCGTCTTCTGATAACACGAACCGGTCAGCGTATTTCCAGGCATTTCGAGCTTTTTTGTAACTCAGCTCTTGTGCTTGGCCCTGAAGCACCTTCTTGATGTTAAACCACTTCTGCTCCTCGTCTTGTGCCACCAGTATCCGTCTGCGTCGATCCCGCTGTATCGCTACCGGGTCAACATCTTCCGCATCGGGAAATGCCGCTGGTACAGTCTTGTGAGGATGGTCTGGCAAATCTTCGCCGAATGAATCTTCGGTGGACGTCTCTCGTCGTTCTTCATGCTGTTCTTGAGCTTTTGAGACATCCTCCGAGTGTTCATCTGTAAACCTGACGCGTTTCTTGGCTTTCGTCTGTCGCCGAGTCATCACTGCTATATTACCATAATCGCACTTTGGTGAGCTGTAATCAACCACGAAAATTTCGAAAGTTACCCACTTTGAAGACTCGCTGCCTGACAGTACATGTACTTGACGCTCTGCTCCTCGTGACGAAACATCTACCGAGTCTCCATCCGGCTCGTAGATCATTTCCTGGATGCGGTTCAGCGATGCCAATTCCGACTTGCGAGTTTCAGCCAAGATTACCCGACTGACCTTCGATTCCAGCGCTTCAGTGGCTAACGAATCCGCGGCCGCGTTGTATTCTCGTACAACGTAAAGATATTTAACTGATCGAAGCTTGGCCGTGAGTTCCTTGTGAGTATTCAGCAGCGCTAGCAAAGTTTCCTTCCTGCATGCGATCACCCCTAGTGATTGTTGAATCGCGAGCCTTGAGTCACCAGCGATGACTAAATCCTCGGCACCGTGTGCAATAGCAGCCTTGACGCCGTTAATCATTTCTGTGTATTCTGCCTCATTCACCGTGGTGGCCGAAGTAAGCGTTCGCAGCAATCACTATCTTCCACTCAGGAAGGCTCCACAACACCCATGAACAACTCCCGTAGCCACCGTACGTCTCTGTCTTCGCTGATCCGTCAAATGACATTACGAATCCACTGTAATTACGGGGAAGCCTGGCGTACAGCAATGCGGGGTCCATTCGAATAGTCGGGGAACCCTTGTGTGGAGGTGCCACCGGCGCGAGTGAATATTCCAAGTCGACGAAGCTCGTGATGCTTGACTGCAGGAGCTGTGCTAAGGCGACATCTTTCTCCTTCACGCGCTGCACCTTCAAATGCCACTGCAATAGCATCACTGCGAACTGGACTGCGCGTTCGAAGAGAGACTTCGACTTATGTACCCACTCTAACGTCGAGAATCGTGTATAGACATGTAGCGTCTTTCCTGCCAGCTGACAGTAACAGATCTTCAACAGCAAGAGTAGCGCCAAAACTTCCTTCTCAGCAGGATGGTAGTTCATTTCGGATTCCTTGAGCACACGCCCGAGGAATCGTACGGGTGTACCTTGCCTTCGTGTTCTTGCACAAGCGTCGTGATCAACGCCCATTCATTCGCAAAGAGCATGACATAAACTTCCTTCGAGCAATCAAAGGGCCTGAGGATGGGTGAATGTGAAACACTCGCCTTATGTTTCTCGAAGGAACGACGTGCCACAGAAAGGCCACCGTCAACGGCAAAGTCTTCATACTTAAGCTGGCACAACTGCGCCGCACCGTAGACTGCAAAATCTTGAATGAAGCGGCTGTAGTAATTAACCGCTCCAAGAAACGACTGCATGCCCTTCTTACTCGTCGGAAACGAAAGCTCGTTAATGGCCGCAAGCTTCTTCGGATCAGCCCTGATACCTTCTGGCGAAATTTTATGCGACAGAAAATCCACCTTGGGCTGGCAGAAGATGCTCTTGGTGAAACTAATGCTGATCCGACACTGTGCAAATCTTGCCAGCAATCGGTCCAGCGTCGCCAGGCAGCTGTCGAAATCCTCACCACCGAAGCAAATATCATCCACAAACGATCGTCGACCAAATACAGGTACCAGCGATGATTCGTCCGGTTCCCCGTTCGTAAACATGTCAGCGACGGGGCTGTCGACGAGTTGTAGTACCGGATCGGCCTCCACCGGTGCTTCGCGGTCTGCCGCGAACTTCGTTTGAAACGAACTCTCGGTGCTTGGCCCACGACGCTCCTTGGCCTGTTCTTCAGCTAAACGCATCTTCTCCGAGTATTCAAACCAACCTGCTATAGGTTGAACAAACCCCCAGAGTGCGTTGTCAATCATACGCTGGTAGATCATCGGCGCGTTCTTTAACCCGAAGGGCATGCGTAACCACTCGAAATGTCCGAGTGCGCAGGCAAACGCCGACACTTTACGTGCTCGCAAGGTCATCATGACCGCCCAGAAGCCGCTTGCAGCATCCAACGAGCAGAACCATAGGCAGCGCTCGAGATAGGTCAACAGGTCGTCGACTAGCGGCATTGCATACTCCATGATTGCGGTGATAGCATCCACCATCTTGTAATCAATGCAGAGCCGGATGTCCAGCCCGTTCTTTTTCATCACGATCACGATTGGCGATGCCCATGGACTGTCTGAAAATAAGATCAGTCCTGCTCGCAGCAACGCGCGCAGCAGCTCGTACAGTTTGCCGAGAAATCGTAGCGGCACGCGCCGGGCACGCTGTTTAATTGGGGCGTGCCCCCGTGTGTCGATATCGCATACCGCACCGTAGGCTGGCGGCGGCAGTGCGTTACCACTAGCAATCAGGATGTGCTCGTGGTTCTTTAGCGTCGCGACCAGACGTTCTCGGCGTTCAGTCGACAGCTCAGGATCAGCAACATTGGGTGCATCGCACTCTATTGTCGTGTTGATTTCTTCGGTAAGGTCCGGCAGGAATGCCAACTCCTTCGCGTAGTCTTCTAGGCCAATGTTGTTAGCTGGGTGTTCGTTGAAGTCATTCCTTGCGTTCTCCGTTGCTTCATTTCCTTCGGTTGTTAAATTGAGCGACCGAGATGTACGTCTCGTCCAAAGTCGCCACGTACTCTTCTCTTGACTCAAAATCGTCATCCGCGTTGAGTTAAACCCTCGGTACCGGGTCCATCTCCTTCCCATCCTGGTTTTTCATCTCTGGGCCACCTGCCGAGTCTTTGTTCGCAATGATGAATGCGCAGGCATCCGACATATTGGGCTGTTGACTTTTGTTCAGCGCCTCGGTCGGCCGTTGTCTTGACAGTTCGGCATTCACACCAATCTCGCAACGAACACTCGGTGCCGTATTCAACACCTTCAGCGCGATGTATGCATCCTCGGAATCAACCACCGATGTCTCGTTCGTAAATTTGGCTGCGTATCAGGTGACTCCATTTAATCCAGTGCTGCTACTTGTCGCTTCCGTGGTCACCCCAGACTTGACACGAACACTCGTTGGCGTATGTACAACGTTTACCGGACTCAGTAGTTCGTGTGTACGCGCTACCGAGGCATCGTTTGCAATATTGCCCCCGCCGTGAGCTGTCGTATAAGTATCCAAAGGTTCTTCGGAAAACTGACCCTCGGCCGAGTCCCTGGCTGTCACCCCAGACGCCAGACAGGCCTCCACTCGTTCACGTTCCTCCATGATCATTGTCCAGCACT